AGTGAGACTTAGATGATTTTAGATAGTTTTCCCGGAGTGTGCTGTGGCTACCTGTGCTTCAGAAGCTCACACCTAGGGCAGATTTCTTCTTGCATTCCACTTCCAGCATCAAGTCTTCCCCCTTGGAACAGTGTCTCGCAGATCCTCCTGTTGCTAAGCCACGTGGATACTGGTGGGAACAGCGTATGCAAGGGAGGATGGCAGACAGAAGTGTATGGTCACAAATGCTGGATTCTCCCCCATTGTATATCTATATATGTGCAAGGTTGAAGTGCAGTTATTCAGTGTATGTCAGACACACACATGAACATATTGTCAGAAAAGCTTATTTTCCAAGGTACATCATGTTTGCCTGTGTATGGAAGATACCTTGGGCCCTTGTAATGAAAGAAAAGAGGATGGAAGAAAGGCTTTAAGATAAAACTGCTGGGTTATGTTTCTAGTTTTCTTATCTCATGATGATAGTTTTCTATGAATTAATTCTGCCTTCTGTGCCACTGCTCCCTATCTGCAAAATATTGCAGTCCCCTGGGCATTTCTCTATGGAAGTTCTAATAAATATTTTACAAATGCTAATGACTCAGGTCACCCAACATCATTGTCCTTGCTTTGCAGGCAGGGTTTTGGCAAAGGTAAAGAGCAGGAGGGTGACCAGCTTCACGCCATGCAGCAAACTGGGGGGGAAGGGAGCACAGATCTTTTTCTTTAAGAGTGGAGATCCCCTTTATAGCTTCTTTTCATCAAAAGGAGATGTCCTGGGACTCACTACTTCCCAGGTCTGGTAGCTGTTTTACTGCATGGTCAGTTTGTGTGTGCTGGGTTAGGGAGCTGAAACAGCTCACTGTGTGGCTGGGGAGCAGCGGAGCTGGCAGGGGAGAAGCTGTAGAAGTTTGTGGAATGGGGAAGAAGTAGGGCTGAGTTGACTTCTGTATGATTGAGCTTACAGGCATTCATGCCTGTCCATCTAGTTATTCATCATTTTAGTAAAGGCATCATGTAAAGCTTTTTTCTCCTGGGCACCTTTGTCCCCTCTAGTTCATTCTCTGAATTCTATTAATTAGGCTTCTCCTTTCCCACTCCATGTCTAGGGTTCAGCTGTGAACTAAGAGGGCCATGAGCTGAACAGCACTGGATGCAACTATGTAAAGTGCCAATAGGTGGTAGTGCTTGAGGCAGAGGAGGGCAAAGTCTCTCCTGGCCTATGCATAAAATCCTTGCAGGAAGCTTGTTCTGTGCTCAGGTCCCTGCAGTTGAGCTCTGGGTTGCAGGTCAGCCCTGATTCATTAGGTTCTCATTGTATTCTTTGCACTGTCACCAGTGCTGGCCTTGTGCCTGTTCATGCATCTCCTGTGCAGTCCCTCCCGAACCCAGGGAAGGCTCCTTTTTATTTCACTCATCAGGATTGAGTACTCTCTGCACTCAGTTCCCCAAGTACTGGTTTCTTCACAAGGCGCTCTGATCAGTGATTTGTATCACAGTAATTGTTAAAAGGGAAAAAAGTCAGCTTAAATACCCAGCACTTTCAAAGAGAGATTTCTAAATGTATGTTTAAGATCTCTCATTTTGGGGTCAGACTGATGGATCCAACTTCTTTTTTTAAAAAAATTTGGGTCGGGGGTTGCACAGCTAGCAGAGCATGTCTGCCAGCAATATTTCCCTGTTGTCATCCATTTGCTACTCTGTTCATTTAGATTATCAGATCTTACGAGCAGGGACCATGCACAGCAGCAGAGGGCTTTTCTGTACAGTTGCAGCCTCCCAGTACCACTGCCAGACATATGAGTAATTGGTTGAGCAGCTCTGCAGAGCAGTCTCCTTGCACCGTCCAAGCTGAAATGCAGAAGTAAAAAAATCCATTCTCAGTGATGAAGAATCATAAAACCATAAGCCCGAAAGGGACCAAAAATCATGAAGAAAACCCTTTTCTTAAAGAAAAATTCTTTGTGAACATATCTGGCATGCTCTCTAAGAGACATTCTGTGATCTTGCAACGTGCTTCTGGGATCTTCTCTCTTCATTGTCGCTTATAAGATAGCTTTAAATTAATGATAAGAAGCCGTTCAGGGCATGGGCTGTGCTGAGGTTCACAGCTTTCATTCTGAATGAGAGAATAAAGTAAACTGATATTGAAAGCAAGGAGGGAGAAACAAACGCAGTCAGTAAGCCTATAAAAGTCTTAGCCAATTGCAATGGCGAACATCCTGCTGGCGAGGGTGACCTTGAATGAACTAAGTGGGATAAAGTCATCAGCCTGGACTGACGGCTGAAGAATCAGGCTGGATTCCAGCAAACTGAGAGAGCAGATTCCTGACAAGAGTCTCCTGAGCTGTGGCAATGGCTTCCCGGTGTCAGAAATGTGGACAACAGGTGCCCAGGAATCCACCTTTCACTGCTGTCCGGATAACAGAAGGAGAAATGAAATCTTATCACGATTTTATGGGAGGATGCATTAGACTGGAGTGCATGGCAAAGAAAGGTATGTGCAGCATTTTTAAAAGAAATAGCATCTTCTCTTAGTGGTAGCTGCATTGCATTCCTAGGAGATTTGCAAAAAGATACTATTTTTCTAATGCTTTCTCTGAGGATTCAGTGGTAAAGACAACTGGCTGGATTTGGATATTAACTCAGGTATGAGTGCATCATTTGACTTGGCTGTATATTTCTGGGATGTTTGCAGTGATTCGACCTAGAGGAGGTTAAAATGAATGTCAGACTCATTCTGAATAAATGTTTATGTCACTCGGGTGTTAGACACTGAGGTTTCTGTAAATGTCTGGAGCAGGTATTTGCTGCACATTTGCTGCACCTTTTTGAAAGGAATGTAAGGAGATGGGGCAGTAGGTATCACGACCCAGTTGACCCTGTCACCCTGTGCTCCTAAATTACTATGTAGAAGGTCAATATCTTTCTCACTGTAAAGATTCTTGTTTCACTGTACTCATAACAGAAACTTGGACTATCGAGCTTTTTGTGCTCTGTGTGAGTCAGTCTGGCTACAGGGCAGTATTCCACTCTGAGTGGGTTGCTAGTATAAGATGCTGGTGTCCTGACAATTTGTGCTAATTGCATGTTAACTCTGAAGTGGAGTGATGGTAGTTGAAATCTAGGCTGTTGACTATTTAGTCACATACCAAAGTGTTCTATGATTCAGCAATCTTTTCTCTATGTGTCATCTGAGAGGAAGATTAACCAAGGAGACCTTCAGTTTCCTTTGCTCTGTTAACTTGAATAAATACTTAGCAAACTTCAAATCCAGAAATTTATAATGTGTTCACTAGTACGTGACAAAAAGATCCCCAAAAGCATGCAATATGATTGTACTTTCAAGTTGAATTGTTTATTATGATTTAATTAGCTCTTCAGCAAAGAGAGTTGCATTCAATCTGGTAAATCGAGAATATTCTGCAGAAAAAGAGGTGGACCAGAAGCAGGTCATCTGCTGGCAGCTACTGCTTACAAATTGGAGTTTGCAGATGCTTTCTTTAATAGGGCTCTAATGTACAATGCCAGGGTTTGAAAACTGCAAAGCCAGTCCATTGTACCTCTGCTTCTGTCGGGCATCTATCCGTGCTGATTTTTGGGCTCGGTGCCTACCTACGCGTTGTTGTATTTGGCTGACCTTTCGGTAACACTGATGTTTCCAGTTGCACTCTTTGTAATGAGGCATTCTGAGTTCAGCGTAGCATGGCAGAAATGTCTGGTATCTGAGTAAAAGACAGAACAGAATTAATTGAAGTTCCTTCCTGAATCTTTGATCAGGTGCTTCCAGGTTGCTTACGGCTCTGGGGGCCCGTGGGCCTGCTGGAGGCAGAGCTCAGGCATCTGCTGTTCTTTTTCTTCCTTTAGGTAGAGAGGGGAAGACACTGGTAAGAGCTTTGCTATGGTTACTGTTCCCAGGGAAACACCTTCCCTGCCTCTCATGTTGAGAGATGACCTGGCATAGTACTATGGGCGAAAATCCCTTGGAAAATCATTTTCTGCTAGAGAACAGATAGTGTGTCAACTAGTCTGAGCCTGTTGCCATTTTGTGAGGCAGAAAGCATCTTTGCTGATTTTGTTTTAAATTCGACCAAAGAAGCCACAGGAGGGGCAGAAGTTAGGTTATTGCTAGGGGCAAGGTGCCTTCAGGTGCATGCACTAGAGCTGCGTGAGCTGTGAGAATACACCAGTGACAAGTCTGCATGCAGTGGCCGTGTTAGAAGGGGACTAAGGAGCTGGCAAGGTGGCATAGGAATTCATAACACCACCACTGCCTGGGTTCTTTTCTTCTGCTCTGAACTGACTCTGACCCTGTACTCATCTCCTGTCTTGTTTTGGCCTTAGTTTTCTTATCTGTAAAGTAGAAGCAGTGGGAATTACCTGCCTCCACAGTAGATCCTGATGGCGTAGCTATGACTATCCTTTGAAGATGAGACCAGTTTCCCTTTGCAGTAGGTGCTGCATAAACACAGGGGAAGAAAGATGATCTGTCCCAGAGAACTTGGGCTCTGCCTGCCCCATCTTGCCAGTCCTTTACTACGAGCAAAAGCTTGTTGACAAACTCTAGGTGTGGATGTGTGCCTTTTTCTGAGGCTGGCTCTGTCTGAACATAGTGGCAATGCAGGATCATGGATCTCTGTGGCATGTTCTGACTTGACTCTCACTTAGGGGTACCCTTTCTGCAATGTAAAGATCCAGCTGGAGTGTTGTTGGGGGCTAATTGGCTAGTGCTTACTCAGTACTTCAGGCACTCCAAAGTACGAAGCATTTTTCGCATACGGACCACATCTGTGGAGCCCTGTGAATATTCTGTGGCAGTTTTATCTCTTGTACTAAACATCATAACTAGAAGCGATGGAAGGCACACAGGTAACCACAGCAGAAAGAGGCCACGTGGTTGCAGTCAGGCCTGCAGGTAACCTTTGATCAGCAGTACCCCATAGCAAGCAGCGCTCTGCCAAGCTAATCCAGTTCCTGGATCGTGCAAGTTCAAGGCTTACTTTGAATCAATGTGATTTGTTTTGATGAGTGGTTAAAAGCGTGGTTGTAATCTCCTGTTCATGTAAAGAGATGAAAATAGTGAATGCTTACAAAAAGATAGTGCCGCTGTGAGGGGGCAGTTGAAGGGCAGTTTCCCTGTGGCCACGTGATGACTGCTCAGAGCTCCACAGCCCTGGCTCCCTGCAACAGGCAGGACCTCGCTGTATGAGCTGGCCTAGGGGTGCTGAAGTCCCCTCTGGGGTCTGATGTACAAATGGTGATGTTTTGAGTACCAGTATGTGACCTTGAGACTCTCTGGGAGCTGCAGCTCCAAGGTGCTGTAACTGACAACCAAAGGGAAGGAGCCCCCAGAAAGCCAGGCAAGAAATGTGGCAGGGACTCCAGTCCAGGGCTGATCCTCCTTGCAGTGCCCTCAGTTCCTCACAAAAGAGATACTGGAGCTGAAAGCAAAGCATGGCCTCGTCATGAAATATATCATTCTTGGACAGTAGCTCATGTGCCTTTTCAGCACTGACATGACTATTCATGTCACCCAGCTGCTGGTTCACATATTTTATGCTTGAGGACACCTCCTGCCAAAATGGCCCCCTCTGTCCCCAGATGCTCTTAATTAGCCTGCCTTTTTGTGATGCTCAAGTCCTCCAATGGGACAGCACAGATACAGGGGCTTAACATGGATGGATGAGCATTGGCTGGTTAGACTATGTTTCTGCATGCTGTGGAGCCTGAGGCTGCATGCAGATTATATATTTTTAAGTGAATAAATGTGTGGTTTTTATCTGCGCTCAAGGCTGGTGGCTGTGTAAAACAGGGTAATGAATCTGCAGACACTAAGGAGTATGCAGTTCATTACTGAGACTATTCAGGATTTTGCTGTTGCTGCAAAACCAGGCAAGATCCTCCTTGCCAGTAGGATGTCTCTTGTGCTAACAGAGCATTTCTGATTTTTAGGATGTCTCTTGTGCTAACAGAGTATTTCTGATTTTGTCCTTCTGTAGGACAAAGGAATGACGCAATTCTGTCTGTCCAGCAATCATGGGCACTTGTTCTTGGCCCTAGTGCTGTGTGTCTCTTACTGCTGGAAATGAAAAGCAGTTCTTCAGATCTATCTGTTCAGGGAGGAAAAGGGACTGGAGTATTGGAAATGTCTTTAGAGCAGTTAAGGATTTAAAGATAGAAAACTGCTTCTATGGCACTATCTCCAGAACGAAATCCCATCTGAATGAGATCAGACTGAAATTTCTTGGACTTTTTGGAGCTTCACCACCTTCAATAGTGAAATAAATGAGAAATGCTTTCCTTTCCCACACGACTGACCTTTCTACAAAGGTGCTGGTTACTGGGGAAAGTGACTCTTTCATGTGAGGGCTGAAATCTGCAGTGTAAGTGGAAGGTGTTTCTAAACCCCTTGAGACTCAGTCACAGTGCCTCCTTGTGCATTGCGCAGAATTCTTCTCGGTTTATTTGCATTCAGTATCTATTCTCCTCTTTAATGTAAAATGCTGCCTAGGGAACCGGGGATAAATTTTTTCAGCTGGCTCTCACTGCAAAGAAAATAGCTAAAATAAAATATTCTGTTTTCCACAGAGGTTTTTCTGAGAAAAGATCCTTATCTTAGATGCTTGTGTCCCTCTTCACCTGTTCCCATTGATATGCAGCCTGCTCTGCTGCTGTTGAACAATACTGAACCCTGTTTACCTAATCAGAAAAGTCCAGAGAATGGTGGTGAAAATAGGGAAGGCATAGCTTGATTTCCATTTAAAAAGAGTTTTGAGAGATAAGTAGTACTGAGAAGATCAAGAGAACAAATTCTCAGAGGGCAAGTTATAGCAGAGGCGCTCTGGGTATTTATGTTTTTCCCTTCCTCCCATGATACCAGAACAAGAAACGACACAGTGAAATGCAAAAGCATTAAACACAGATAGATAGATTGCTGTAATTGGTAATGTTTAATTAATCTGTGGGACCACAAGATAATAGCTCGGTTTGCTTTTTTTGTATCGCCTAAATTGTAGTGTAAACTGTTTGGGGAGAAGATTTCAGGGGAAAATGGTGCTGAATGACTGGGAGGTTGGAGCGCGTCTGTGCAGAGCTCTCACCCTGGTTATGCCCATGGAGCTTATTCTCCAATTTCAGCCAGTTCTGCCGCTTCAAGCCCCACTTACAGACCCACTTTAGCTGTGCTAGTGTGTTGATGTTGTGTACAAATTCTGTTGCTTCTTTATTATCTGAATCTTGCTGTGGATTAGCCTGCCCAGTGAGGTTTCTAAGCCATGGACTCTCCTCCTTCACCACCTGAACGTTATCTAGTAGAATTACTGGTGCTCAGGTATAAAAGAATGATAAATACAGCTTGGTTGTAGCAGCCCAGCTTCCTATATATGAATATTGGAACTATGCCAGGTGTCTTGTTGCACAAATTTCTGATCCTATTAGTTCATTCCATTTCTTAAGGGGAAAAAAAAAAAAATCCTCCAGGCTTTTACAACAGCAAGA